AATCACAATGCAAGTGGGGATTGCTCACAGCTGTCTGCGTCGGTTCCGGGAACGGTGACTTCGTGCTCCCACAACAGTGAAAGGCCGAGTCCGAGCAGCTGCACACGGCCGCTTCCCAAGTCGTAGATGCCACCCTGGATCTCCAGCTCACCGCTCTTCACCTGAAAGGAGCAGGCGCGGTGATAGGCCTGCAAGATCCGCAACGTGACGGCTCCTGCCTTCTGTCGAATGGGCTCGCTTTGCCTGAGGATTAAACACTTCTATCTGGACAGGCATGCCAGGCGCATGTGCAAGTGTTACACATGCTTATACATGCTTATACCAACCGACCGGGGCCAGGGTGCTGCAGCATGAAGTTGATAGTGTGGAACACGGAACAGTTGAGCTTCACGGCGTGCTGGGCGATGCTGTCCTCAGTGGCCTGCGCAAGTTGCAAGGGGTCTGACGACTGACGAGCTGGCGCACGCGATGGAAAACAGCAGCTTCATGGCCTTGCTCCCAAGTTCCGAGGCCGCGGACTCTGCGATCGAGCTCAGGCCTCGCAGCAATGCGTCCAGCGCATGGCCGTCCTGCAAAGAACAACATAAGCAGCATGGGCGAAAGGTAGGATGCATGCAGAACCTGTTCGCCTATGTCTGCCTGACTGGGAGGGTGTACGAGCGGGCGCAGGGGAAGGAACGCCTTCCCCCTTCCATCATATAGAGGAGGCGCAAACCAAAAGGAGGTTTGACCGGACTTGTAGGTCTGAGTCGCCCCAGCCACCGCGCCGCACTGCGTGTGCCCAAGCACCAAGACCATTTGAGTACCCAGCTTACCAGTACAGAACTCCAGGCTACCGACGATGCTGCCTTCTGCCTTGGCTGTGTCACTTGGGACGCACGCTTGGCCTGGCTACTTGGCTATTTCTGGACGTGCCTGCTTTACGAACTCACGAACTACTGAAATTGGCCCTTTCTGTCGTACTGTGCTTACAGGTCTGAGGCTGAACGAAGGAGAAGCCAAATCCGAGTGAGTATTTGCTGGCCTCTGATCTGCAAAACTGTGCATGGGCGCGCGGACCGAAATTTTGCAAAACAGCCACTGGACCCTCAAAGCAGGAACCTCATCGCCGAGCACCCCAATTGAGCCCGAAGGGTTTAACCGGAGGACCTCACACCGTATTGCATGATATTGCATGGCACCGAGGTGCGTGAGTGCAGGTGTTGCCGGCGTTGGAGCACAAAGAGGTCTCCAGGCATCGCGTCGAAGACGGTGTCGATGGGCACTCGCGAGTCCGCACAGCCAAGGATGGCGCTGTGGGGCGCCTGGCCGCACTTCACCAACGCTCGCCGCATGTTGCGGGAGGTAGTCGCTGCTGTGGGCGCTCCGACGGCGAAGCGTTCGTTGCCCTCTTTGAGCAGCTTCAGGGCATCTTGACCACATCAGCCCCTGCGCGAACGCCATGCATGCCATGGTCAGCCTCCTTGCAAACCGCCATGGACGGAGGGACGGGTAGGCGAGAGACTCCAGCAGCTTCTGCCTGCTGTGGGATCCGGCCCAAGAATTCCACATTGCCTGTCTCCAAATGATAGATGCCTCCTTGGATCTCAATCTGCCCGCTACGCACGCCCTCACGAATCGACTCGCTGAACTTCAGGAGAAAATCGATGGTGTGGAAGACGTTCACCTTTACTGCGTGGGCTGCGATGGCGTCCGCATCTGCACCAGGGCCCATTTCCTTGGGCCTGCTGGGCCACTGCACCGAGATCCTGCAAAAGCCCTTCGAGAGCACAGCCGGCTTTCTTAGGCGTAGCCTGGGCATCCAGAAACGTCTTGGTGGCCCCATAGACAGCACCGCACTTCGTGTGGCCCAGGACCAGCACCAGGCGGCTACCCAACTTTCTGGCGCAGAACTCCAGGCTGCCAACGATGGCTGTGTGCAGTGCTTGGGTGTGGCTACGCTGGGGCAACCTGGCAGGTCAAACAGTCATGATGTCGAGCAACGATGCAAGCTAAAACCCATGCGAGTGCCAAATTCACGAGCACGCTGACACGCAGCGAAATACAAGCTATCCCCACAAAGCTGCATGTGTGCAGGTGTTGCCAGCATTGCGGAGCACAAAGATGTCGCCTCATGCGCGCGCACAAGACACGTGCTTCAGGCGCTTCAGGTTCAGCTGGACTCCAAGACTTCCTAGCCCACAAAGACTCTATAACTCTATAGATTCTCGCAAGAAAGCGTGGCTTTTTTTAGTTCGTGCATTTTTACGCGGAAAGACAGATGAGTCATGCGCCTGGCATGGCGTCGAAGATAGTCTCCGGGGGTGCGCGAGAGTCCGCGCAGCCAACGATGGCTGTGTGTGGTGCCTGGCCCTGCTCCACCAGCTCCTGGCGAATCGCTGCATTGGTCCGGTTGGCCAGTGGGCGTCCGTCCACGAAGCGCCTGTTGCCGTCCTGCGGGCAGGACTGCGGCTACCACCGGAAATCTCAAAGTGGCAACAATTGCTCTGCTCCCAAGCGCCCAAAGCGCCTTGAGCAGACATTGCTTTTGGGCTCCATGGGCGGGTCCGCCGCCGTGCGGACTGGCCGCACGTCCGGGCTGCTGCACATGGTCAGGGCGCCCGTCAGCTGGGAGAAGAAGGACATGGCTAGGACCTTGCATTTCGCAGCACAAATCTCGAAGATCAGGCCTTGCTGTTTCCAGGCTCTGACATGAAGCTCCGCAGGCGAAGACGTTAGAAGCCCATCGGCTCATGAGACACATGCAGCCCTTTGACTTTCACTCTTGGTTCTTCATTACTCCGAACAACTGATCCCGACCCCACCTGAACCAAAGTGAGCTACTTTGAGCATGGGTCTATGCGTGTGCCAAACCAGCCAAGCTGCAAATGAGGAGAGGGGGCGAGTAGTGCACGTCGCACGTTGTGGCAATACGTGAGGATGCTTGAGACGAAGCGACATAACGGTCATCAGCATCATGTTGCACTTAAGCTGCCGTTTGCCGCAGCAAGCTGCCCATCCTGGGCTTCCTCTGTTCTTCACACATCTTTGCACTCTGTAGGGCCCCTGGAGCCCAGGTGATATTATGTTTGCAGGCGGATTACGCACGTCAAAGATGGTCTCTTCAACAGACCATAACAGACCACTGGGCATCAACAGCTAGCAACTAGCAGCTAGCTAACAAACGGCGCTTACCATTGCGCTTACCATTGCGTGCTAGAACTTCCAAGCTGGAACCTGGAATGTCCAAGTCGTTGGCTGAAAGTGCTTCTTCCCGATACTGCGACAGAGCATGCCTCAGCAGCTGACTTGCAAAGAGCGCCGACAACTTGAATCTGCTGAGGCTGCCTGAGACACGTGCTTCAAGACTTCCCGCATTTCGGCTGAGACATCGACGGGCCATGCCTGCAAAAGTCAAGAGCAAGCTGTTACCGTTAAATCCCGTAAAACCAGCAAACCACTGCCCAGGGAAGCTCCAATCTCCTTGGAACTACACAGCATGATCACACAAGATGTAATAACGCGTTCCACGCCCATCCGAAATCGAGGCTCACGCCTACAAGTAGCAAGATTATGTCGTGGCCCCCTCGACAGTGCCCGTGCCCGCCTGGTAAGTCCGTGGTCTACGACTCGCGCGCCAAACGGCGACTGCGCAAGTCGTCTCGGTCTTCAACCTCACCAAGCACAACACAACGGCCGCAGTTGACGGCACTCCCAACCTTGCGCCTACAAGTGGAGACCTACCACAACGGCTTCAAGTTTGGGTAGGATACTCCAGACAAATTCAGCCTGAAAGATGATCGTGCCGTGTACGTCAATTTCGAAAGAGCCTGCTACGTGGGCCGGGCCTAGAGCGATCGCCGCGATGTCAGGAAGATCTTCGCGGCTTTGCTGGCTATGTGGGGCTGGGCGCAACAAGCCATCATTGCACGCTCGCATGATATTGCAGGGGCATGCATGGGCCTTGGGTCCTTGGCTTGTATATCTTGTATCGCTCCAAATCTCAAAGCTGAGTCTGCTGAAATCCTTGCGGAATCAGCTCACTGCGCGGCCGATCTTTGATTCAGCCCGGCAGCAAAGGCCACATGAGCAGTAGGAGGCCCGCTAAAATGCCGGAGCCTTTTGCTCACATTCGAGGAAAACTTATCGAACTGCGACGCCAGCGTGCAGCCTTGTGCAACGCCTGGTTTGGGGCATCGCTCGGCCCGTTGCGCTTCTAGTGGCACCACAGGGCCCTCAACAAACAAAACCTGCAGGAATAAGTTCGGAGCAAGTGCTCAGGTGTTGATTATGCGCATTTTGTCAAATTACATAGCTCCACAGGTGAGAGCTCGAATGCTTGCCATACTCTCTCGCGTGTAAGGCTCACGCGCCACGGAACTTGTGCTTGAGGGAGGGTGCAGCTGCGGCGGGCGACTGCAGCAGCTTGGCTTGTGCTGGGCTCGGGCCGAGAAACCTTAGCGAATCAAGTGAAAAACTGGACATCGCTGGAAGAAAACTGCGGGGCAGCGTCTGCGGGTGGCAGTTGGTTGGCGGACTTACACGCACGTACAGTTTGTGCCTCCCAAGCAGCTGCACACGGCCGCTTCCCAGGTCGTAGATGCCACCCTGGATCTCCAACTCACCGCTCTTCACCTGGAAAGGGCGGTTTGCTCTGACTCTCTGAACGGGTGCATTTAAAGATGTATAAGCCAGTATAAGCCGACTAGGGCCAGGGTGCTGCAGCATGAAGTTGATGGTGTGGAACACATTCAGCTTGATGGCATGTCGCACAATGTCGTCCTCTGAGCCCTGCGCAAGCTGTCTCTGACTCACGTGTGCGCGGTGATGCAAACGACGTCTAGAACGACAGCTTCATCTTCAGTGGATTTCAACCGCATTCTGCCTTGCTCCCCAGTTTCGTCGCCGCAGTCTCCGCAATGGAGCTCAGGCCTTGCAGCAGCAAATCCAACGCATGGCCGTCCTGCGGAAAGGCACGCAACGGAGCAACGCTCAAGACACCCAACACACTCCACAGCAACAGATCTGTTGTGCTTCGCCATGTGTGCTATGCTCAGAAAACTGCAGTCCTTGGCCCCGCTGGATTTCGATTTCTTGGAGTCAAGGTAGGCCTTGGCGGCGCCCTTGATGGCACCGCAGGCCGTGTGCCCGAGCACGAAGATCAGCCGGGTGTTCAGCGCACCGGTGCAGAACTCCAGGCTGCCAAGCACGCTGCCCTCGGCATGTGTGCAGGTGTTGCCAGCGTTGCGCAGGACAAAGAGGTCCCCGGGAAGGGCATCAAAGACGGTTTCCAATCCGCACAGCCAACCAGAGAGCAGTGTGGGGAGCCTGGCCCATGTTGTTCAAATCTGCGCATGCTCTGGTGGACCTTGCCAGCTGTGGGGGCACCCACTGCAAAGCGCTCGTTGCCCATGGAGTGGAAGACGTTCACCTTCACTGCGTGAGCGATGAGCTTGGCCTCTCAACCCCTAACCCCAGGTCCTCGCTGGCAACACACTGCCCGGAGCCTTGGACTGACCGGCCTGGTAAGTCTTCGTAGCTCCGGCCACGGCGCCGCGCTGCGTGTGCCCCAGCACCAGGACCAGCTAGCTGGGCACCCAACTTGCCGGCGCAGAACTCCAGGCTGCCAACGATGCTCCCTTCTGCCTCAGAAATTCAAGGAAATTCGCTATAACTCGTGGGTGCATACACTGTGCATACTTCCAAACTTACATCATGCCCAGGCTAGTCAGCTACCTGGATCACCGAGCAGCGTGAGTGCAGGTGTTGCCGGCGTTGCGGAGCACGAAGAGGTCTCCGGGCATAGAAAGACGGTGTCGATGGGCACTCGCAAGTCCGCACAGCCAAGGATGGCGCTGTGGGGCGCCTGGCCGCACTTCACCAAGGCCTCGCGCATGTCCGTGGAGGTGGTGTGGTCGCAAGCGCTCGTTGCCCTGCTTCAGCAGCTTCAGTGCCGCCTCGGACTTCACTGCAACGTCGGCCCCAGTACGGACGCCGTGCATTCCATGGTCGGCTGCTGCGCCGCTCGACATGGAAGGTGGGACAGGCATGCTGGACTCCAGCAGCTAGGCCTGCTGCGGGCTCTTCCCCAAGAATTCCACACTGCCTGTCTCCAGATTGTAGATGCCCCCGTGAAGCTGAATCTGACCGCTTCTCGCAGCCTCACAGATGGACTCACTGAAGCTCAGCAGAAAGTTCATGGTGTGGAAGACGTTCACCTTGACCGCGTGGGCCGTGATGGCATCCGCGTTTGCGCCAGGACCCATTTCCTCCTGGGCCTGCTAAGCAACCACGCCCAAGTCCTGCAGCAGCCCTTGCAGCGCAGAGCCCGGTTTCTTGGAAAAACCCTGGGCATCTAGAAACGTCTTGGTGGCCCGATAGACGGCACCACACTTCGTGTGGCCCAGGACCAGCACCAAGCGGCTGCCCAACTTTCCGGTGCAGAACTCCAAGCTGCCGACGATGCTGCCTTCCGCCTTGGCTATGCGCGATCTTGAACGTTAACATACACATGAAGCTGCCGGTGAAAGCACCAGATGGGCATGCAAACTGGCGCGTTGAGAGTAGGCCAACGGAGCAATTACACGGTGCCAAGCTGCATGTGTGCAGGTGTTGCCTGCGTTGCGCAGCACGAAGATGTCACCTCGTGCTCGCGCATGCTCGCGCACGAGTTACAGCATGAAGAACTTCGCATGTGCTACGGCCCGTAAAGCAATCCCTCGAGCGTGTAAAATCAAGAAATGGACCTGGCATGGCGTCGAAGATAGTCTCCAGGGGCGCACGAGAGTCGGCGCAGCCAATGATCGCAGTGCGCGGAGCTTGGCCCTGCTCCACCAGGTCTTGGCGCATGGCTGCGTCCGCGTTGTTGGCCAGCGGGCGTCCGTCCACGAAGCGCCTGTTGCCGTCCTGCAGGATGCGCTGCGGGCTTCACAAGAGACACGGCGGGTGCTTCAAAGCTCAAAGCGCCTGCGCAAGCGGAGGGCTTCCTCGGGCTCCATCGGCTCGTCTGCGGCGGTGCGCACTGCCCGCGCATGTGCGCCGCTGCTAATGGTCAGGGAAGTGGCAGACGAAGGCACTTCTGGGCGGCTGCACAGGTTCAGGGCGTCCGTCAGCTGCGCGAACAGGGACATAGCTGAGACCTCACATCTTCAACACACCCAGAACTCCTACTGGCTGTTGTGGACTAAGGTTTATGGGAAGCCATTCGGCTAATGACACTCAGGCCCTCCCGCGGACCTTTCACACCAGGCCTTCAACCACGGAAAGCCGCCCCTTGAAATCTTGCTCCAGACTTGTCTCTCTGCCCCTATAAAAATCCTGACCATGCCTGATTCGCAGTGAACCTATTTGGGCACTGTACTGCCTGTCCACTGGCTGTCCTGTTTCTGCGAAATCCGCCAATCCATTCACTTGGAGTTCCAGAAATTTATGCCAGATTGACCCTGCATGTCCCTGCACGTCCATTCTCGATCCAAACCAGCCAAGCTGCAAATGAGAGACGGCAAGTGGTACAGGTTGGAAATGTGCAAGGGTGCTTGAGACCACAACGCAAGCTGCGGACGCGACTCAAAGTTCGACATCAGCATCATATTGCACTTAAACTGTACATCCCGAGCTTCCTCAGCTCAACATCCTTTTTACTGCTGGCACCCTGGCTGCATGTTTCCCAGCACAGCAGGCGCTGTAAAAACAGATCCTAAGGCTCTGCCCCGTTGAACGCTGCAACCTCCGAGGGCCAAGCTCGTGTTCCATACTTCGGCACAACATTCCTAGGCTGATTTTCACAGATTTTAAAATGTCGGCGATGCACAACCATCTGCTGCAGCTAACTGAAGGATACGCATGAAGACTTTGTGCATCTTGACTCCTGGATCCACTGCCTGCACCTGCAGAAGCCAGGGGCAAGCTGTCGCTCCCTTATCCCCAGCTGGCCCTTTGAGCAGACGTAGACATTGCATTTCAAGGTAGTTTCAGGACTCTACACCTTCAAATGTCTCCGAGAGCAACACAACTAAAGAGTAAAGACTAAGCCCAGTCCCAATGAATGGTGAGGATACCCAATATGCTGTAGTAGTTTCCATGTTCTTTCCATTGTCCCAGTATAACCCCAATATATACCCTAGTATACTATAGTAGTTTCCATGTCCCCTTCCATTATCCCAACACAACCAGCAAAACCTAGATAAACCCTAAACCCTAAGCCAGATCATCCCTATAACCCTAAACCCTAAACCCTAAACGGCCCTAAACCCTAAACGGGAATCTTACGGGTCCAAAAGTTGATTTGGGGGGCCTTCAGAGCGCCCTCATTTAAGTCAAACATGGAGGTGACATGGGGTGGTGGCTGCTCCCTATATGACCCGTTATAGTAGTTTCCATTTTCTTTTCCATTCTTTGATTCTAAACCCTAAACCTATGTAAACCTATTAGTTTCCATTTCTTCCATTCCTTCACTATTCTGAGCATTTCAGGCAAGCGCCCTTCCGCCCCTTCTGTCAGACCTCGGTCTCTCAAGAATCAGCAGAAGATTCGTTGCAGCTCAAGGACCAATAGGCGGTAAACGGGAATCACGCGCAGGCACCAGGGGGCCTACGTGATGTCCGAGCCGACTTCAAGTCTTGTTGGATGGATTTGATCCTTTTTTCGCTGCCGTAGCCGGACCTGCAGCGCCGAATGCTGCTGAAGCTAGTCCTGATATGTCATGATATGTCCTTTCTCTCCTTGACCCGCAGCCTCTTCCCCTCCTCCCAACCTCGCTTATCCGACTGTCTTTTATTATTATTATTATTTATTATCATTATTATTATGGATCTCTTGCTATAGGCCACCTGGTCCAGGCATTTGTCAGCACATGCCTCGTTCGGCCTGCAGCCACACCAGTCATCTGATCCCGTGCTGAGGCACGGCTAGTGCGAGTCAAACAAACATAACAGACTGGACACTTGCGTCATCTGTGCTATAATTGCACCCACATGGCCTGGAATGATCACAGACATCTTCAGGTTAAAGCCGTAGCTAGTGGTACACCTGGGCTCTTCACACAGCAGTCTACAGCAACCTACACTCGCATGGGATGTTGGCCTTCGCCTGGCTAGTGTTGCTCGCTTTTGCTCCGAATCTCAAAACTGTGTGTCTGCTGATATCCTCTCGGAATCAGCTTGCTGCGCGGCCGATCTCCGAATCAGACCGGCAGCAAAAGCCACATGAGCAAGTATGAGGCCCGCTAAGACGCCCGAGCCTGTTTTGCTCACATGGTATATTAGTTTGAGAAATCATCGAATTGCGATGCCGGCATGCAGCCTTGTGCAACGCCTGGTTTGGGGCATCGCTGGGCCTGCTGCGCCTCTTGTGGCACCACAGGGCCAAGCAAACAAAAGCTGCAGGAATAGGTTCGGAGCATTGTGTTGTCAAATGTTCAAATGTTGTCAATAATGCACACTCAGTCCAGTTACATAGCTCCACAGGTGGAAGCTGCAACGATGGCGTGCTCTCATCTTTTGGGCTCATGCGCCGCGCAGTTTGGCCATGAAGGAAGGTGCAGCAGCGGTCGTCGATTTTAGCAGTTTGACCTGCGCGGGGCTCTGGCCGAGGAACCTCAGAAAATCACAATGCAAGTGGGGATTGCTCGCAGCTGTCTATGTCGGTTCCGGGGACGGTGACTTCGTGCTCCCACAACAGTGCCAGTCCGAGTCCGAGCAGCTGCACACGGCCGCTTCCCAAGTCGTAGATGCCACCCTGGATCTCCAGCTCACCGCTCTTCACCTGAAAGGCGCAGGCGCGGTGATAGGCCCGCTTGCAATAAACTGCTTCGCAACGCAGGATTCCGCAAGATCCGCAACGTGACGGCTCCTGCCTTCTGTCGAATGGGCTCGCTTTGCCTGAGGATCGAACACTTCGATCTGGACAGGCATGCCAGGCGCATGTACAAGTGTTATCAAGTGTTACACATGCTTATACCAACCGACCAGGGCCAGGGTGCTGCAGCATGAAGTTGATAGTGTGGAACACGTTGAGCTTCACGGCGTGCTGGGCGATGCTGTCCTCAGTGGCCTGCGCAAGTTGCAAGGGGTCTGACGACTGACGAGCTGCCGCACGCGATGGAAAACAGCAGCTTCATGGCCTTGCTCCCAAGTTCCGAGGCCGCGGACTCTGCGATCGAGCTCAGGCCTCGCAGCAATGCGTCCAGCGCATGGCCGTCCTGCAAAGAACAACATAAGCAGCATGGGCGAAAGGTAGGATGCATGCAGAACCTGTTCGCCTATGTCTGCCTGACTGGGAGGGTGTACGAGCGGGCGCAGGGGGAGGAACGCCTTCCCCCTTCCATCATATAGAGGAGGCGCAAACCAAAAGCCGGCATGCCGTGGCAACTAGTCTAGCGAAACTAATTCTCTAATCGCGCCCCAATCAGGCCTGTAAGACGCGCACATTCAAAGCGCAAAGAATGGGGACCCTTTCCCAAAACAGCAAACTCGCGTTTGGGTTTGCGTTCGGAAGCACTTCCCCATGCGCAGCGCAGTGACCGTCCTTGGCCCCGTTGGATTTCTTGGACTCGAGGAAGGCCTTGGTGGCGCCCTTGATGGCACCGCAGGCCGTGTGCCCCAGCACGAAGATCAGCCGGGTGTTCAGCGCACCGGTGCAGAACTCCAGGCTGCCAAGCACGCTGCCCTCGGCATGTGTGCAGGTGTTGCCAGCGTTGCGCAGGACGAAGAGGGCCCCGGGAAGGGCATCAAAGATGGTTTCCAGCAGAACTCGCGAATCCGAACAGCCAACCACAGCAGTGTGGGGCGCTTGTCCAACTGTTGCCAAAGCCTCGCGCATGCTCTGGTGGACCTTGCCGGCAGTGGGAGCACCCACTGCGAAGCGCTCGTTGCCATCCTTCAGCATGGCCAGGGCATCTTGCGGCATCACTGAACCGCTTCGGGATGTCCTCACGTTGCCGCTGGCAAGGGCGGTGGGATGGAGCGCTTGGAGGACAGCAGCTGGGCTTGCTGAGGTGAGCGGCCCAAGAACTCTACTCGGCCTGTCTCCAGGTGATAGATGCCGCCCTGGATCTCCAGGTTCCCTTTGCGCACCAAGTCGCGCAGGGGCTCAGAGAACTTCGAATGGAAGACGTTCACCTTCGCGCGAGCGATGAGCTTGGCCTCCTCGGCCCCTGGGCCCAGGTCACAGGTCTGAGGCTGAACGAAGGAGAAGCCAAATCCGAGTGAGTGTTTGCTGGCCTCTGATCTGCAAAACTGTGCATGGGCGCGCGGCCCGAAATTTTTCAAAACGGCCACTGGACCCTCAAAGCAGCAACCTCGACGCCGCGCGCCCGAATTGAGGTCAAAGGGTTTTAACCGGAAGAGCTCACACCGTATTGCATGATATTGCATGGCAGCGAGGTGCGTGAGTGCAGGTGTTGCCCGCGTTGCGGAGCACGAAGAGGTCTCCAGGCATCGCATCGAAGACGGTGTCGATGGGCACTCGCGAGTCCGCACAGCCAAGGATGGCGCTGTGGGGCGCCTGGCCGCACTTCACCAACGCTCGCCGCATGTCGCGGGAGGTAGTCGCGGCTGTGTGGGCGCTCTGGGCCTGATGACCACATCAGCCCCTGCGCGAACGCCACGCATGCCATGGTCAGCCTCCTTGCAAGTCGCCATGGACGGAGGGATGGGTAGGCGAGACCCCAGCAGCTCTGCCTGCTGTGGGCTCCGGCCCAAGAATTCCACATTGCC